TGCTAACTGGAGTTAAGAAAAAAATAAAAAGTTCAATGGCCAAGTAAGTGTGGAAAATACGTACTTAAAAAAAAACAGATTTTGTTCTTGCAGGACTTCTCAGAGACTTTGCGTAAATATAAACGTGCACCGTGACTCAGAGAGAGTCGTTATAGTAGGTGATGTTCCCTGAAAGCACTGGACCAGGGAACCCGTCTTCCCACAGGGCATATATACCACAGAGACTGGTGTTTTTCTTTGGGAGATATTGGATTATATATTCTTGACAATCTTTTTAATTTGGAGAAAAATATAATTAAAAAGATAACTAAATACACAGTGATGTACGCAGATCACCCCCCCACACACACACCCACACACACAGTTGGGATGATTCTGTGGGTTTTTAGTTTTTATTTTTATTTATTTATTTTTTAATCCTCACCTGAGGATACTTTTCTGTTTATCTTCTGATAGAGTGGGAGAGAGGGAGAAAGAGAGAGAGAGAAACATCAATGTGAGAGAGACATATCAATTGGTTGCTTCCCACACAACCCTGACCAGGGCTGGGGATGAACTGCAACCGAGGTACATGCCCTTGGCCGGAATTAAACCTGTGACTCTTTGGTCTGCGGGCCTACGCTCTAACCGCTGAGCAAACTGGCCAGGGCGATTCTGTGGGTTTTTAAAGGCTTTTTGTGTTGCCTGTGCTGTACACAGATCTATGCCATGCGACTGGTTTCCAGCCAAAATTGCCGTACCGGATGAGGGCACCGCCGACGATAGCCTGATCCCTCATTTTGGATTTGTAGGTAGTTTCCATTTGTTGTTGTTGTTTCACATGCTGCTGGAGTAACATTTGCATAGATCTCTAATTGTTGGCTCAGGATAATTTCCTAGAAGGGGAATTGCTGAGTCAGAGAATAAGGATATTTATTGCCAACTGTTCTTCAGAAAGGCTGTACCAACAGCACCCACCCCGCCTGGCAGCGCCTGGATGCCCATTTTCTCACTCCTTTGCCAATGCTGGGTATGATCATTAACTGGGTAATTTTTTTTCCAATTTGTTTTGAGCTCCTTTGACTTCTGAGGGACACCTCTCCCGTGGACTGGGCTGGCATTTGCTTTTGCATCACTTTTATTCAGGTCCCTTCCCCAACTTTCTATTGATGGCTCATCTTTTTCTCGAGCTTAGAAAGTTCTGAATAGGTTAAAGGTATTAACTCTATCGTGTGTTTGTGCAAAGCATTTTAGATCCTTATAAACCCTTCCCCGTGAGAAGATGGGAAGTGATGTGCCAAACGCCACAGGGCGCAGGAGGGACAGGACCAGGACTAAACCGGGGCCTCAGGGCCTCTTGCTCGCTGCTGGATGTTCAGTGGGACCCATCCTCGCCCCCCCCCCCCTCCACTGGGCCAGCTCCCTCTTCACCTCATCCCTAGCAGCTGACTCTACCCTGGGCATACCTCCATCTACATCCCTGTTCTTTTCCATAGGTATTTATTTATTTATTTATTTATTTATTTATTTATTTATTTTAGAGAGAGAGAGGAAGGGAGAAAGATTAAAAAACAGCAATGAGAACATCGATTGGCTGCCTCCTGCACGCCCCCTACTGGAGATTGAACGTGCAATGGGGCATGTGCCCTGACCAGGGACTGAACCAAGGAGGTCTTGGTGCATGAACTACTGAGCCACACGGGCCAGGCTACATCCCTGTTCTTTATGTGATTTAAGGCGGTCTGTCCAAGGAAGTACTTAAATCACATAAAGTGTTGCATAACCCCCAGCCCAGGTGCCCTGCGGGTTTCTGTAATCACGGGACTTCGGCTCAGCTGGGGGATCCAGGAAGGCTCCACAGAGGTGTTTAAATGGACACTTGAAACATGTCCAAGACAGTGCTTTCCAATAGAAACCATGCGAGCGAGCCACATGTGTCACTGAAATTTTTCATTGGCCACTTATAATATGTTAAAAGAAACAGGTGGGCCCTGGCCGGTTTGGCTCAGCGGTTAGCGCATCAGCCCACGGACCAGAGTCCTGGGTTCGGTTCCCACTAAGGGCACGTACCTCAGTTGCAGTTTGTCCCAGGCCCTGGTCTGGGTCGTGTGGGTGGCAACCAGTCGATGTGTCTCTCTCACGTCGATATTTCTCTCTCTCTCTTTCTCCCTCTCTCCCTCCTGCTCTGTCTGAAGATGAATGCAAAAGTGTCCTTGGGGGATAAAAATAAATAAATAAATAAATAAAAGAAACAGGTGGAATACAGTTTAATAATACATTTAACCCATTCTATTAAAAACCCAGTTTAATATGTAATCACATTTTAAAAAATATTTATGAGCTCTTTTTTATTCTCTTTATTTCGCAGGAACCTGGGAAATCCCATGTGCATTTCATGCTTCCAGCGCATCTCCCCTGGGACTGGTTACATTTCAGGGGCCACGTGTGTGTGCTCGAGGGGGTTTCCTGTAGGACCTCGAAGGTCTAGGCATCCCCCCGAGAAACCAAGTGACGAGGCAGGAGGGAAGTCGGCCCTGGGTGACCCTTTTGGAGACTCTCCCCTTCTTCGGGTCCTTGTTCAGACAGGGCCTTCTCGGTGAGGCCTCTCCTGCCCTTCAACATCCCCCCCTCTCCCCCCAGCACTTGCCATCCCCCGCCCCTGCCTTACTTTGATCTTTTCACCTCGGACATATATTTACTCCTGCATTTTGTGTATTGTTACATCGCTCTCCCCTGGATAAACTGTGAACTCCAAGGCAGCCCCTGGGAAGCTTCCTGACTCCCCCCAGCAGGTGTTTCTGTGCATGGTCGTCCAGTCTCCTCTGTCCCCCTTGTGAAGTTTGTCATCAGTGTGATTTGGGGACCGCTGTGAGGCTAATGCTCCTGCTGTCGCTGCCATCCTGACCAGGTCCCCATGCAGTCTCCCCTCCTCCCAGGCAGGATGCTCAGGCTGGTCTGGCCAACTTGGAGCCCCTTTCTGTGGGTCCCTCACTGGTGTCCATTCTGAGTGAGTGGCCTCACAGTTGGGAAATCCTGTTCCCAAGTGGAAATGAGGTCCCTCCAGCTATGGCCTAGCCCCAGTTCTTGGGGACTGTACCCTCCCCACTTCCTTTATGCAGCGAGCTCTGGCAGGACAGTAGGTACTCCCTCATCTGAAGGCCTCCGGGGCCTGGGGCTGGAATGGAGCATGTTTGGAGGTGGGGGGGGGGGCTTTGGAGGCTGAGAAGCACCCTCAGCCATAAATCAGTTTCTTGGTCTCCCCAGCTCCTCTGGGCTTCCTAAACCCCTAGAGGTGTGAACACTGTGCCAAAGTGGGGAGAAAGAGAGACCCTGCCCCAACCTCAGCCTTGCCTCGTCCTCCCATGCTCCGCCGGCCCCCCAACTCTCAGTTCTGTCATTTCCTCATTCACGAGGTTTGTGGAGCTGCTGCTGCGAGTCAGGTGCCTTCTAGGTGTTGGGGATACAACCACGAAAAAGACCAGAATCCCTGCACTCAGGGGGCTCATATTCTGGAGGAGGAAACAGCAAAAACACAAGGAATAAAACACTTCAAGTCTGTGATAGCTGCTAAACAGTGGTTCTCAACCTTCCAGATACAGTTCCTCATGTGTGGGGACCCCCGACCATACAATTGTTTTTATTGCTACTTCATAACTGTAATTTTGCTACTGTTATGTCTTAGGCGACCCCTGTGAAAGGGTCATTAGACCCCCAAAGGGGTCGCGACCCACAGGTTGAGAACCGCTGGCTAAGAAGAAAACCAATAGAGCTGGGACGGGGAAAAGTCCCATGTGCTGACATTGTGGCCCGGGGAGGCCAGGCAGACTCTTCCCCCTTGCCACACCTCCCCTAATCCACTGTCCATCCAGGTGGAGCCCTGGCCACTGGCCTCGGCCCAACTCCTGCCCAACAGCTGTGGGCTGGGAGCACACGCCACATGGAGGCCAGAGAAGCAGGGAACGTACATCCGACCCTGCTGCCTCCCTGCTGAAATTCTAGACGCCCAGCTCCTTGGGGAGAGGGTAGGCCTGTGCCCCCTGACCCTCTTCCTTCTCTCTGGCCTCAGGTCACACCTGCCCTGCCCCTGGAGCTCTGTGCAAGGACAGCTCTCCCTCTGGGCTCAGCCTCCCTCCCTCCTCCAGGTTTTCTGGGCCTTGATCAATTTCCTACCTACCCACCCTCCCTCCCCCTGGGCTTGGAGGTCACCTTCCCCCGGCTGTGGTAGGTGCCCCCACCATAATTTGTAATATCCTGCTTAGCAGTGCCCGCCCCACCCCCACCCCACCCCGCCCGTCCTGCTCGCTGCTGTGTCTCCAGCGCCCAACTAATACGTGACGAATGAATGAATTTCGCCCGCCAGGCAGAGACTTGGCCTAATTCACGTCTGATCTTTAGGGCCCACCCCGCCCCGCTCCTTGGTGCGTGTGGGGGGACCGGAGCGCCCGAGATTGAGTCTAGAGGGGTGGCGGGGTGACCTCCCGCTCCCGCCGCGCGGGACGCGATGAAGAAAGGGGAGTCCCTCAGCCGCCTCGGCTTCGGGGCGCGGGGCCGCGGTCCCGCGGGCGCAGGCCGGGCGGGGCGGGTGCGGGCGGGAGGTGGCGCCGGGCGCTGAGTGGCGGCTCCGGGCCCACCCCTGGCGCGCCGGTGCGGGCGGGAGGCGGGAGGCGGGAGGCGGGGAGCGCAGGGGCGGCGGCGCAGAGCGCAGCAGCGAGCATGTGCCGCGCAGCCCAGTAACCAGGGACGACCGGCAACACCGCGGCCGCGTCGGCGCCCAGCCCAGCGCAGCTCGCGCCGCGGCGCCCGGAGAGGGCGGCGGCCGACGGCCCGGCCTGCCCAGCGGCTGCCCCGCGCCCCGGGCCCGCGCCGTGCTCAGGGCGGCCGAGGTGCCGCCAGCCGCGCCGCGCCGCGCGCCGGAGCCCCGCGCCCGGGCCGCACGGGCACGGCGCAGACAAAGGCGCGGCCCGGGCCCGGCCCAGCCCAGCCCGGCCCGCCGGCCTCCGCGCGCCCCGCCCCGGCCGCCCCGGCCCGCGCCCGCCGAGCCGCTGCCGCTGGGCGCCCCGCCGGGGTGGGCCCGGGCGCGGGGCCGCGGCCGCCGAGGATGGGGAAATCTAACAGCAAGTTGAAGCCCGAAGTTGTGGAGGAGCTGACCAGGAAAACGTACTGTGAGTGCGCGCCCCGGACCCCCGCCCAGCACCCCGGCGCCCCTCCCCCACGCCCAGTCTCCCCCGAACCCCTCGTCCCTGCTGCGGGTCCGCCTGCCACCCCGCAGCGCCGCAGCCCTCCCCGGTCGTGCCCTGCCCTGCCTCCGCCCCGGCCACCTCGCAGAACCCGGGCCGCGCCCCCGGCCCCACACCTCGTCCTATTGTTCTAGGGCACCCAGCTCCCCACGCCTGGGCGTGTGCCGCCTGTCAGGGTGCGCGGGCCACCCCCGGCCGGGAGGGAAAGCCCCAACCCACCCGCAGCCCCCTCTGCGCGGTCGGAAGGCCAGGGGCGTGCACGGGCCTGGGGCGGTGGTCCCAGCAGGGGGCGCCTGGCTTCGAGGTGGTTCGGGCTGCGCGGAGCCTACTGGCACGAGCGGCGAGGCGGGTGATTCATGCATCACGATGCCACCGCTGCTGCCGCTGCGAGGTTGGCCTGTCGCCCCCTCCCTGGCCTCGATCGTGCGGGGGGTGGTGTCGAGACTTGTCAGAGAGCTCTTGGCAGCGGGGGCGGCCAAGGGTCCTGGGCGCCCTGTTGGATTTACAGGCTGAATTCTCCTCTGGCTCCCACATCAATCCCCCCTTTCTCTCTCTATTCGCCAAACCGGGAAATGGGTTTATACAGCCGCGGGTGATCTGGTCGATCTCATTTCACCAGGGTGATCTGGTCGATCTCATTTCACCCTTTGGAAGCACCCCTAAGAGGGAGGTCTGTCCATTTCTGACTGTTCTAGATCTGCCCCAGTGTATCTCTGTCCACTTGCCAAACTTCACAACTTCGCAGTCCCCTTGAATCTCCAGTTTCTCCTACCAGACTTCTGTCTTCCCTGCAGCCTCTTGGGAGATGCTCTGGCATGCTAGGGGCTGATGGCATTGGGTCCTAACCCACCGGTTTTTCTTTCGGGGGACGGGAGGAAGGACAGCTGCATTCTCTGGTAGGGCTTCTGCCTGCATGTCTGACTTGGAAGGGGCAGTGGCCCTGAGCTTGGGTTGGAATTCAGAACCGTACGTGGGCAGCTGCGTGGGTCCAGCCCTCTGCACCCTCCCTGGAGTCAGCAGATTGACTGCCAACTTCGTGTGTTGATGGAGGCTTAGGAGGCAGGTTCTGATGGTGCATTGCACAACCTCTGCTCCCCGCTCCCCCAACACACACACACACACACACTCCATCGGCCTTCTGGGCACGTTTGCAGGTCTGTCTAAGCCCATGCTTCAGGTCCATGCCCTTCGCCCTCGTGCTTGGAACAAAGGGGGCTTTCCTGAGTGGGCGCCGGTCTGCTGAGAGGTCCTGGCCCTTCTCCAGTGGAATTCTGCAGCAGGGAGCTCATATCCCAGAAGCTGCTCCTCTAGGGGGTGAGGCTCTGAGGACCAGGGACCCCTTCCTGGCTGCTCTGACCCTCTTTCCAATGTGGGTGGGTGGCCCTTCCGAGTCTGTCCGCTGTTTTGTGAGATTTGCTGGGCCTTCCTTCAGGCTCTGTCCAGATGTGGCCCATGGCTGTCTACAGACAGGCTGCAGGTGGAACTTCCGGGCTCCCGTGCCGGGGAAGGCAGAGGGCACAGTGGGCTTTGCCGGATTGTGGGCTTGGGCTGCACCAGGGTGTCTGCATCATGGTGGAGCAGGGGAGCCACTTGAGAGCTGAATGAAGTCAGGTTTTCTGCTTATCGGGCATGCCACACGCTGAGCTCTTTGCATTGGTATCACATTGAACCTCACACCAGCCCTGGGCCTGGTGAGCACAGTAACTGTCCCCATGTACAGATGAGGAAGTTAAGGCTCAGACAGGTGAGTGGCATGCTCAGGATCTCACGGCCTGGCCTAGGCGGTATCAGGACTTGAACTCAGGTCTGTCTGTTTCCAAGTTATGTCTCAGCGTTCATGCTGAGAAGTCCAGGGGGCTTTTCTTCTGTGTGTCCCATTTTGGTTTCTACTCTAAACCATGGTCATGACTTCTGGGTGGGAAGGGGCCTTGGCAGTCATTTTGTCCAGCCCCTCTCTCTAGATAGATCTGTCAACTTTGGGAGAAGTTGAGTCAGCAAGACTGTTAGGAACTGGCCCGGTGGTGCTGGGCTGGGCTATTTTTAAAGGCCTTTGGAGACATGAAATAGTTTCTGTCAGGGAGAGAGTTTTCCTTGAGCCCTTATTAGGGGTAGGCTGGTGGCGTGGTGGTGGGTTCTTTGCCTCCTGTGTGTCTCCTGTGTCTCCCTTGCTGATGCCAGCTCCCTCCGCAGGCCCTGGTCTCTTCGGTTGTGTGGGCACTTAGTAGGTCCACAGATATCTGTTGAGTGAAAAGTCTCCCAGCAGGAAGAGCAGAGCCAGCCTCCAGCTTGTGCTAAGGCCCCAGACGGGCTTGCTGCCTAAGGGGAGCGGAGCCATCTGCTCTCTGTTCAGGGGCCTGTGTGGGGTCAAGAAAAGCGTGCTCAGGAAGGAGTCTCAAATGTCAGCATCTCCTGGAGCTTGTTAAATGCCAAGGTGCCTTTAGGTCTGGCGTTGGCCCCGGAATTTGCATCCTTGACAAGTGTTTGTCATGAAGATCGGGGTTCCCAGGAGCCCCAGTGGAAGACCCACAGCTGGTTCCCGGGTCCTGGCATGTGTAAGCATCACCTGGTGTCCGAGGCCACCTCGGACACAGCACAGCTGGTTACAGCACTGCTTGGGGCCCCGAGAGGAGCCCAGAGAGTCCCACCTGAGTCAGTGCTGGCTGCCATTCTTGGTGGGGTTCCTCCTGCCCCCTGGGCAAGACTGTCCTGCTGGGCTGTGTGTGTGTAAGGAAGCAGCGGACAGTCTGGCTGTGTGGCCTTTGCTAGACACACCTGGATTCAGCTTGGCCACAGCCCGCTGCCTTTTCCTCCTCTGCAGGTAAGATTCTGTGAATGTCAAGGCCTCATAACCCAGTGCTCACCCTTCCTGGCACGGTTCATATCTAGGGGCAACAGGAGCTTCCCGAGAGGCGGAGGCCCCTGCCCCCCTGGGACTCAGAGCAGCAGTCAGTGTGGCCCAAAGCCTGGTCTTTTTGAGGTCTGACCTGTTGAGGTCTTCCTTCCGCTTGGTGGGACTGCTGTCATGCCTGTGTGCCCAGACTGAGGGACAGGCCAGCCCCTCACTACTGAGCCTTAGTTTCCTCATCTGCAGAATGGGTGTGTCATGGTGCCAACTCCCAGGGGATGTAAGCATCAACAGGATAATTCACACGCAGCCTAAGAAGCGGCGTATGGTAAGGAGCCATCCTTGATGCGTGACAAGCGCTTGGCAAGGACGCAAGGTCTCAAGCAGTTATGTTAGTGATCATCATTAATTTTGTCATTTTGGCTGTACAGTTCAGCTTCATCTTGAACTGGTCTTAAATGTATCTTGTGGACAGAGTTCATCTGTCCACAGAGGAGTCGTCCTGCGGCCCTGGTCTGTGTGCCTGGCACACACCCAAAGCTGGGATCTTCAGTTGGCCGGAATCTTAGCAGAATCTTGTTTTATCTGCCAAGGTCCCCCCACCACACTTGTTTGTTTTTAGGCTGCCCTGACCTGCCTTCCATTGAACGCGCACCCTGTGCTGGACACAGACAGAGATGTGAACGAGAGAGGTGTGATTCCCGTCCTCAGGGGGAAACCAGCCAGGTTGTCTGAAAAACCGAGCCGGAGGCTCAAGCCATTGCCGTGGTCTGAGCTGGATCCGTTTAAAGGCTTCTGGGCCCAAGCCAGCCGCCCCAAGAGGCAGAACCCCCCCATCCTCTCCCCGTGGCACTCACGGTACTCCTCAGGGGCCCTCTGTCCAGGACCAGAGGGGGCCACTTCCTCCCTGCACTGGGACAGCCCAGATTCTGTCTTGACTTGGCTCACCAACCTTGAGTCTCTTGGCCTTTTTCCTGATGCCCAGAATGGTGCCCGGCGTGCGGCAGCTTGTGGAGGGGATGAGCTTCATCTGAGTCGGTAGCTGAGGCCTCTGCAGGCCAGAGCAGAGGCGGGACCTGCTTGCGGCCCGGAGTCGGGTTCAGATCTGCTGGGTGTCCCTGGCTGGGCTCTAGGGTTGCTCTGGCTTTGCGAAGTGTCCCTTGACGGTCCCTCCTGTCGATAAGGAATGTCCTCTGATCCTTGTTCCCTGCACCCAGCTCTGCTCCACCATCCTTGACGGGGAGGCCAGATCTGGCACCCATCCTGGGACAGATGATGCAGTTGGGGTCGAAGGCCCACAGCCAGGTGTGTTTGAGGTCTGGCCCACTTTCTTCCAGCTTGTTGGTGAGGCTGGTGAGCCAGGAGTAAGCCACCCAGGAGAGGAAGGTCCAGCGGAGGGAGGTGGCTTCTGCAGTCCCTGCGCAGCCTGTGCACGGGGTAAGATCGTGGAGGCCGGCTTCCCGGCTCCAGAAGGCTAAACAGAGCGGCAGCACGAGGAATGGGGGTTAGACTGTAACACTAGCTTGGGCATCTGGGCAAGAACCATCAAGTCTGTGGTTAGGAAAGCAGTCACTGTCCTGGAGAACGGGGCTGTGACCTTGGGCAAGTGGCTTATGTCCTCTGAGCACCCTTTGCTCATCTGTAATACCTGCTCATGTGACTCGTGGATCCCAATGGGGGCTGGTCGTGGGTCAGAAAGGGAACTGGAGCACTCGGCAGCAGCCTCGGGGGCCAGATGGGCAGGGGTTCTGTCCTTTCCTTGGGTGAGCCCTGTCTCAAAGAGCTTTACTTCCCTTCTCTGGAAATGGGGGGCATCACGGTGGCCCCAAAGAGGGGGAGGATTCGGGGCACGTGAAGCGGGTAGCATGGTGGTTCTGAGGGGACACTTTAACCTCTCCTGGTGGCAGCTGGTTTTAGGAAGCAAGTCCTCTTCCTGCAGAGCGGAACCGGCCGAGTGGGTCTGCGGCCTGGCCCCTTGTTGAGAAAAGCGCAGGAGGCCAGAGAGGGGCAGGAACTCGCCGGGGTCACAGAGCCCAGGCCTCCAACCTGAGCCTGTTCTGGCTCTTTCTGCCTCCTCCCG